TGGGGATTCTGCGCCGGGTCTCTTCTCAGACCTGTGATCTCACAGCCATGTTGCCTAACTCGGAGAGTAACCAGTGTACAAGATTCGTTACGGACTTTCTGCGCACAAAACATGCCTCCCCCGACCCCCACCTGCCACAAACAGCATCGGTACTCCTGCCCCAGGACGGGGAGGAGAGGATGAGGGCAGGACAGAGCAGAAAAGTGGGCAGGAGGGGAGGGCCAGTAAGTACTCAGGGGGACAGTCAGCGAGACTGGGGTACATAAGAATGGGGAGACGGAGAAGTGGAAGGAGACCAGGGATGTCTCTGTTTTCTCATCAGTTGACGAGTCCTACTCTCAGGCACTAGGGATAGAAACTAGGAGGGGACGAAAGCTCCGGAGGTGAGGAAAAACACTTCCAGGTGATGAAGGTGCACTGTGCTCACGTGGAGTTTGAGGGACCTGAGAGAGCCCAGGAGCAGGGACCCATTTGGATGCACGTAGGTCCAGGGTGCAGGCAGGAGAGTTAGGAATCATTAACTCACAGGTTGGTGTTGAGGCAAAGGGAGGGAATGGAGCATGCGTGGACGGAAGGGGTAGAGAAGGGGACAGGGGGGGCCGCTGGGGGCCTCAGCATTTAAAAGTATTTTAACAGTTAAAAGGGAGCCAGTGGGGCTCTAGACGTGAGCCTGAGACAGAGCAGTTGAGGGAGGAGGAGATGGGGAGGACGATGGGTCGAGGGGGAAAGAGTATGGGGACGGGCATGTCCCCAGCCCCAGCATGGGCTGGGCTGGGTCACTGCGGCCACCAGTGACCTGGAGAGTGTAGCCGGGTGTGGGGTCGGGGGAGGCAGATGGCTGTGGAGGGAGGAGTCGACGGACGTGATTGCTGAGTCCAGACCCAGAAGTGGGCAGGCAGGCAGACTGAGACCCTGCTTGGCAGACCTTCCCGTGTCTTGGACTGAGGGAGGGAGGGGGGTTCGTTGGTCCAAGACAAGGGAAGGGAGTCGAGAAGGACTTGGAGGGGGGATTTCCCTGAGCAGCAGAGAGCCGTGCAGGGGTGGGGAGAGCCCCAAGGGTTACTCGGGGGTTTTAGTGGCACCGTGGGATCAGTGTGGCCAGAGAGGGAGCCAGTGGGAGGCAGTGGCTGGTGGAATCCCTACTGAGGCCCCACAGAGCTGGAAACTGTGACTCAGGGACACCTGGCTGATGGCCTTCTGTCTGTCCTCCACGTGGACCACAATGGAGGACCCTTCTCCTGGCCACTCCCAAGGCAAAAGCAGGGTAAGGCCACACCATCTGTGCATCCGTTTCGACCCTCACCATCCAGAACGCCCAGTTCCCTTCCTGCTCTGCTGGTCTGGCATGTGCCGTCGCCCTTATTACCACTGAACGTGCCGTCAGTCCCCCCAGCTCAACCGGAAGCCCCTGGAGGGCAGAGACTTAGCCTGTATTGTCCCGAGTGCCCAGAGCTGCATCAGCACTGGGTAGAATGTTCTCGGATGAAGGGTGAATTGAAGATAAAGACCTGAAGCTAAGAGTTTTCCCTCCTGTCTCCGAACTGGAGATGAGCCCAAGGGCACTTACTTTTAATAACTGACTTCCCAGAGGGGGAGAGAAGCAAGCCATCTGCACTGTCACCCAAGTGTCAGCCGCTTCCTGATCACTCGCTCCTTCGACTCCAACGTCCATGCCAGCACCGCCAGCACTGTACAGCCAGCGGACTTCTCAGTGGGCAGTGAGGTGTCTGAAGTCACCTGCCGGAGCTGGATGGGAATCTGCGTCTCTCACATGCCGGGGCCACTCTCAGTCCACCAGGCATTACAGGTGGCAGTTGAAGCTGTCGTCTCTGTTTCTGAGGGACTGTCACTTTTCTCTAGGATATAGGAATGGCAGTCCTTTAAAAACACACATGAAGGACATGCCACTTCTGGATGGCCCCTAACGAGGCCCAGCCTGCAGCAAGCCCGCTCTGAGGCCCATCTCACCTGTAATTACAGCGTGAGGAGGTCGGCGCCGGCTGGTGGGCGGTCAGGTGGGGGCCCCACCACCTCCTGCTGGCTCTGTAGTCAAACCAGCAGCAGCAACATGTGTGTGGCCGACCTTGCCAAGGATAGAGAGGTGCAGGTCCTGCTGAAAAGGGGCCCCTTGACATTCCCATGGGCCCCAGGGGGCTTGTGTCCACCCTCTGGCCATCACCAGAATGTGGACCCGAGAACAAGGCCATGACCCAGCTTGTCTCAGGGGCTCGGATCCCCTTAAAATGTGAAACTCCTCGCAAGCGCAAGGAAGCACAAACCGGGCCTCTCCTTTCAGCTTCCTAGCTGTGGGTCTGTCCAGATTGGCTTACGGCAGAGGAACTCCCAGCAGTGCCCGTGCTCCTAAAAGCCTTATCATGGGAGAAGTGTCTGCAAATCCATAAAGGAGACTACCCACTAGGTGGGCTCTGTCGTTTCCAGCTGTGATTCGGAAGAGAGGTTCTGAGGGTCTGGGCTCCTAGCCAAGCATCTCTCAGGCCTTTCTCTAAGACATGGCTTCTCTGGCCCATCTGGACTGGGCACAAGGTGGAGTCTACCAATATCTAGCAACAGGAATGACTAAGCACTTTGTAGGTATCATCTCATTTAATCTCAGGGCGGTTTTAGAAAGCCCACTTGACAGATGGGGGAACAGGCACAGAGTAGTTAAGTCACTTGCCCAAGGTCACACAGCTGATACGTGGGAAAGCTAACAATCAATCCCAAGTCTTTCCAACCCTGGGGTGTGAACCCAAGAGGTTTGACTTGGGACTTCTGCTTATAGCCCGTAGCCTGTATTACCTCCACAAAGGTCAGCATTTCTCCTGTTCTTTGTCTAGTACGTGTTTACTGAGCACCTGTGAGTGGCTGCTGCCACACAGAGCACTGCCCGCCCCCTCGGCCACATGGCCGTTCTGGCAACAAAAGCACAGCATCCTGAGGGCACACAGGAGCCCCTGCCCTCGCCTGGGGACAGGTCAATAATAATCGTGTCTATTGTCCAGCTGCCCAGAACTGTGCTAAATCCTTCATTTGCATGTTCCATTGGAATTTGGAAGGAATTCTATGCAGTTATTTTGATGCTTGAGAGAAACACACCTGTTAAATGTTTGGCAGTAATTGGAGATATGAAAATGATTACCAGCATCATTTCTGTTATGAAATATTCCAAAAGCTTGGAACAAGAACAGAGAATAATGTAAGGCAGTTCCCCCCCTAAACTGTTAGTAGGTTGTCAACTTAATAGATTGCAGGCAAGCATTTTTGAATAGACTAGCACAGGAGAGAACAGAAATGATCCGATGTACTATGTATGGAAAGAACCATGAGTATAAATGTTGTTCACGAACATTATTTCAGGTCCATGGGTGAGTGTGTGTGTGTGTGTTCTGTACATATAAAACACAGGTGGCAAACATAAGGCCTGAGGACTGAACCCAGCCCTCGACCTTGTTTTATCTGCCTGGCACCTGTTTCTACCTGGTAGCAGCGCCAAGCTCTCTCTTAACTGTTGAGAAGTAGTCACATCGATACAGTCCTAAAATTACATTTGACCCTTTGAAGGTGACCGAGAGGATGATGTGGCCCCTGGTGAAAATGGGTTTGACACCCCTGGTATAAGATGACTTACTACAGAGATCATGGTCAAGAACATCTGAAAGTCTCTGGTGTAACAAATGCTTCTGTGTTCTTCATTCAGGTTTAACAGACATTAATATTTTGTCATACTTGCTTTAGATCCTTTCCCAAGAAATACACAATAGAACTAAAATGAAGCCCTCTGTGCTTGCTTCTCCCTGTTCTCCGTCCTCTCCTGAAGCCCACGGACATACCTCTGATCAGTCATTCTGCCAACTGGTCTGGCCTCTTCTTGGTGAGCCAGGCCAAGGCAGCTCACCCCAGGATTGGCTGAAAAAGTGTCTCAGCCAGGAGGGGTTGCTAGCTGCTCAGAGGTCCTGGATGCTTGGAAATGTTCAGAGAAACCATTCAGACATGCCAGGGGGTCCTGATATGCATATCTCACTGTTGACGTGGAAGCCTAGAATTATGTGAACACACTTCACAGGACTAGACCAGAGCCGCGGGGTCTGGCTGCTGGCCCAGCAGCCGCGTCGCTGACGGCTACCCTATCTCCAGAAACTAGGAAACCAAGTCCCGGGAGAGGCAGGTGGTCCTCCTCCCCCCACCCCCCGGGAGGGACAGAGGGGGAAAGAGAGGGAGGAGGGAAAGAAGGCAGGAGCGGAGGAGAGAAATATTTCCATGTGCACACACATCCCCAGAGAGCCGCATGCCTTCCCTGCCCGCCCCTGCCCTGTCCCACTCCCCCGCTCCATTTCTCATCATAGCACCTGTCCCTGCTGCAGTGCACAGTTATTTGCTTATTTTCCATCTCCACCCACTAGTACGTGAGGCCCGTGAGAGCATAGAGCTTGATCGGCATGTTCACGGCTGTTTGCCGAGGCCGGGTGAGCAGCTGGCGCCAGACGAAGAGTGTTTATCACTGTCAGAGTGTACAGAAAGTGATCCTGTGTTGGAAGGTGGAGCCAGAGTGACACTGAAGCTAGCTCTCCTCACACAACCAGGTGACACACTGGCGGTCCGGGTGAAGTGACTCAGGCACTGGTGTGGCCTGTCATCAGCCTGCAGTGACGACTCACGCTCACCGAGATCTCACTGAGAGCCAAGCATTGGTCGCTGTACTTCACGTGGTGACGCTTTTGGCCGTCACCATAGCCCTGCGTGGAGGCCCTCCCACGGGGTCTGCTGCAGGTGGAGAGAGGAAGGCACAGAGGGGTCCGCCGCTTGTTCACGGTCACACAGCCAGGGCGAGCAGAGCTGGGATTCACACCCGAGCAGTCTGGCTCCGCCACGCATGGGCTTAATGCCATGTCCCGCTGTTTCCCACAGAAAATTTTAGAGCCAGGATATGAGGGATACTGACTCGAGCTTTTCAGAATCTGGGGAATTTTCATCTCTCTCTCTCCCTCTCTCTTTTTTTAAAGCAATTTGAGGAAAGTCAAGGCCGGACCAGTAGCAAAACAGCCTTTTACCAGGCGCTGCAGAACTCGCTGGGCGGGGAAGGCGGGGACCCCAGCGTGCGGGCTGCCGCCACCTGGTATTACTCCCTGGAGCACTCCGCTGACGACTACGCCTCCTTCTCCCGGGCCCTGGAGAATGCCACCCGGTAAGAGCCTGGGGATGCAGTTCCACTGCTGTCCCCGGGGCCAAGGTGGTGCTCAGGTGATGAAAGAGACCTGCGGTGCGGGACCTGTGGGGGGCACGACAGTGCTGGCCAGGGCCCCTTTCGGATGCCCCTGCCGAGAAGCAGCCGCTCAGCAGATGCTGATGGAGAGCCTGCTGGGCTCAGCCCGGCGGAGGGGACTCCGGCGCTCAGACCTGGGCTGCCCCTGAGAACTGTGTGGGGAGCTTTCGGAGGGCGCCGGGCACACAGGCCCCATAAGCATAGGTATTTTTCAGAGCTGCCCCAGGTGACTCTACAGTGCTGCCAGGTGTCACCTTGTACATGGACATGAAGTCCTGCACAGGGGAAGGTTCTGCCTAATGCTCACACAGCCCTGCTCCCCTGGGGTGCTGGTCTCATGCTCACTGCTTGTGTGTCTTGCTGGTCGAGTTCATTGATTCAAGCTTCCCTGCACCAGGGAAGGTGTCCCTGACTGTCCCCACCCTACTGCACTGGTTAGGACCAGCCTGCCCCTCAGGCCATGGTGGGCTTGCTGAGGTCAAGGGCTGTGTCTTATATGAGTACAGAGCTGGTGCTGGAGAAGTGAGTTTTAAATGGAATCAAACCATAGCCAAGGTTCTGGCTCTCTCTGCCTATGGAGCCCCCTGGGGATGAGACCACAGTGGGGACCCCAGCTGTCTGTCTGTCACCTTGAGCCCATCTCAGCCCCCTGGACATGCTGCTCTGTTTCCCTGGGAAGAATGTGGTTGCGTGGTTTTGACATCCTGTAACTTCCTTCCTCCCCTCCTGGAGGTCCGCCCTCGCTTTTGCTCTTTGTCCCTGGGCACAGAGCCAACGCCAAGGCTCAGAGGCCTGTGCTGAACTTGACTGTGCTGGGGAGGGATGGACTGAGGCCTGTCGAGACCCACTGCCTGAGACAGTCTCTGCACCTGAGTCTGTGGCTTCCAAGTGGAGGCCTATCAGCTCAGGATGAACCTTCATTCCACCCACTGGGATCACGGGGACCAGAAAGGCTTTGATTTTTTCCTCTGGCAGAGAGCTCAGCCCAGTACCAAACAGCCAGCCCCTGTTTCCAAAGGCCCAGGCTCAGGGGACACCAAGAACTCACAGGTGCCTGAGTCCCAAAAGGCTCACAACCAGGTCAGGCCTGGCTCGGATCTGCGCCACAGAAAGAGCTGGGGGCTCGAGTTCTTGTGCCAGGTTTGCCTTTAACTGGCTTTGAGGGCAGTCTGTGCACTAGGCAAGAGCAAAGGTCTGAGGATGAGCAGGTAACACAGGAAGGTTCCTGTGGACTCCAGCCTTCCCCTAGCTCAGGCCCGCCTCTTCTAGACAGACTCAGGCGATGGCCTCCCTGCCTCCAGTCCCCTTGGCAACGCTCCCCACGGACCTGCCAGTGTGTGACTGTTCCATAGGTTTGCTCTCATCCCCGTCCTGCCCTCTGCTCTCAGGGGGACCGTGCCACCTTCACCTGCCCTTCCGGACCCTCACCCCCAGCCCCACTCCCTCAGAGCCTTCCCAACAAACCCTGAGCTGCCCAGCAGACTGGCTAAGGGGGTGGTAGCCTTCCTCCTCCAGGGACTTCCACGGGTGTCATCAAGCTTGGTCGTTACAACATCTCACGGTGGGACCCCATGGGCCTTGTTTCTCAACTGAGGAGGTGGAGCAGCAAGGAGATGCAGGGGGGATTCCAAACCTGCTGGGCATCAGGTCCGCTGAGGCCTGCCCGATTCTCGCCCCGTGCCGGGCCCACTGTGCTGAGCCGGGGCTTCTGAAATTCATTCTCATCCCCGAAAAGGGGGAGCAGGTGTGAAACTTGGGGAGTCTAAACAGGGAGCGGGGTTCTCTACGCCTCACTGTTGACATTCAGACTAGAAAATGCTTTGCTTGGGAGGGCTTTCCTGTGTGTTGCAGGATGTTCAGCAGCATCCCTGGCCTCAACCTACCAGAAGCAATAGAAACTTTTCCACCTCCAGCTCTGACAACTAAAAGTCCCAAAACATTGCCACGTGTCCCCTGGAATGAGGGTCTCCCAGTCAACAGCCCTGTTGAGAGTTCGTGTGCATGAAGCACCCTTGAGGCATCTGTGTTTTAGGGTGCACGTTATTTTGTATATATGCTGCTCCATAGGATGTTGTAATTTTACTGTGAAATGTTTTGCACCCACGTCTTGATTGCACCCAGTTTCTGCAAAGATGCCTGTCTCACAAGTGTCTTGATCTGAGATGCATCTCCATGGACACCAGTGTGGGACCATGAATGGCCCTAAGCCAGACTGGGGCCCCCAGCACAGGATGCACTGTGCCCCCGGCCGCTCCATCCAGCTGGCTGGGGGACTCGAGGGTGTTTGCTCCCTGGAGCCTGTGCACAGGGGCCTGGTGGCCGAGGGACCCTTGCCTGGCAGGAGAAGCCTTTGCCCTGCACCGTTGTCTGTAGAGCTGCGTGTCACTAGACCCCTCCCTGTCCTCCTTCTACCAGGGACTACTTCATCACCTGCCCCGTGATCGACATGGCCAGCCTCTGGGCAAGGACGGCCCGAGGGAACGTCTTCATGTACCACGCCCCCGAAAGCTACGGCCGTGACAGGTAAGGTGGCTGTGTGGCCACAGTGGGTGTTGACGAGTGAGGGGAGTCTGGCAGGAGGTCCCTGTCACTTGTGCTTCTGTGATCCCCAGGATGGCAGAGAAAAGAGGGCCGGACCGAGGAACAAGTCCTGACTCAGTGACGTGGGGCTTGTCACGTGATCTCTGGGAGCCTCGGGTTCATCATCTGAAACGTGGGTGCGGTAGTAGCAGCCGCTACGCTTTACGGCACCGTGGGAAGGGGGAGCAGCGTGACACGACACAGAAAGTGCAGTGGCAGCTACTCCCAGGTCAGCCTGCGGGCGAAGGCTTTAATGTCTGATGTCTGCGCACTCAGCTTCGCCCACAGAACGGCTCTGCACAGCACAAAAGGGTTTAGGGTAGCAAAAGAAGCCTTTTGTTTACACCTACTTTATGTGCCTTTCTCACTCCCAGAATAGAGTTAATGTACCTTATCATAAAATTCCAGCTGCGATAAAATGATCAACATAGAAGAGAAAAATAGGAGGCATAAGGGGAAGGGAGTCCACAGGAAGAGAAGGGACACGGCGGGCACGGAATGCGGCCCTTGCTCCTCAGGAGCCGAGGAGAAGGGCCAAAAATGAAGGAGAACTGAGGTTTGGGTCCTAGCTCCGGCAGCTCCGCAGCGCCCGGGCCTCCGGGAGACATCCAGCGGTAACCGAATGTCAGGGCTCAGAGCCCAGCAGACAGGGTCAGGTGGTTTCATTTCATCTGACAGTAGAAGCCAGGATGCTCCAAGGTCGCCATTGATCCCCCGCATCTGGGGTCTGTTTTGTGGGTGACAGGGTGGAGCTAGAGACCCACTGCTCACTGGCTGTGCAATCTTGGGCCTGCTCCTTTGCCTCTCTGATTTCAGTGTCCTCATCTGCAAAATGAGGCAAATTACCCAGCTCATACATGGCTTTCACCTGAGTTATTTTGCAACAGTGCAACAGGAACATACATAACTTCTCATTGTAATTGGCAATGTCTCTATAGTAGGCTTACTAGTAGACACCTAAACCTACCAGGCCCCAACCCTACAATCTGTGGGAAAATGGGCTTTGCAGATGCGATGAAAATTCTCCAGGGTCACCCCTGGTCGGCCCTACGTGCAATCCTCGTTAGAGGCAGGGAGAGATTTGATATACGCCAGCACCCACCCCCGGGGCTGGAATAGCGAGAAATTAATGCCTCCTCCCTCAGAGCCCCCAGAGGGAGCGCGGCCCTGCGGACACCTTGTTTGGGCCCAGTGGAACTGATTTTGGACTTCTGGCCTCCAGAGCTGTAAGACAGTAAATTTCTGTTCTTTTAAGCTACCAAGTTTGGGGTTATAAGTTGCTGCAGCCACAGGAAACCAGTAAGCTCCCATTGTGTCCCTGGTTTCTCCTGGTTACTGGTCTTATACAGCACTTCACGACACATCCAGGACCTTGGTAAGGTCGGTAGGGTTCAAGTTCATCTCTGTTTCACAGATGAAGAGTCTGAGGTTCAAGGAGTTCTGCACGATGTTCCCGAGGACTAGCAGTGACCTATCCATAGCTTCTCTGAGCCCGAGAACTCTTTTTCAACTAAAGCACATGGTCTCTCTGCTTAGAACAGTTTATAATTTCACCCTGACCTAGCATCTGCATCTGAGTTGTGGGAGGAAAAGGAACGGGCAGGCTAGGGTTCTGGTAAGCAGACATTTAGGAGAGAAGGCGTGAGAAAGGATGCTGATGGTGCGGTCGGACATGAAAGGAGTCCTGGTAACCCCGTGGCACCCAGGGCCAGGGAGGCCCAGTGTGGGCCGGCATCTGTAGCATGAGCTGTGGCTGCAACTTCCGAAGGCCAGGCTCTCAGGAGTGCAAGGATGCCCTGGGCACAAGTCCTTCCGTCCAGTTCTCTGCCTCCCTCCCTCTCCAGCAGACATTATGACAAAAGGTACAATACTCGGGCAGCAAGTTCATCAAAACCCTGAAAAAATATACACATACCTCTCACCACCCAAATGTGCACTGGCAAAAATGGATAAACGAATAAGAAATGCATCTACAGCAGGAGGTCAAAGCAAAACAAAAGGATCCACAGGATTCTAACCTTGACCCGTTGCGCTCTGTCCCCACCTGACTTCCTTTCCCGGGGCTGCCTTAGCCCAGCACCACAGCGGTTTCCAGGTTTCCAGCAACATGAATGAACGTTCTCGTGGTTCTGGAGGCCAGGATCCCAACCTCTGACAGCCCCAGGCATTTCCCAGCAAGCAGTGGCTGTCTGCCCCTCTGTCTGTGTCCAAACTGCTCCTTTTTATAAGAGCACCAGTCATGTTAGTCAGTAGCCCTGGGTCTTCATAGTCATGCACCCCAGGGCCCAGGGACCCTCCCAGCATGGGGAGGCGGGTGTCCTAGGTGCTTAGGAAATCGTGCTGAAGGATAGAAAGTGATCCAACTGCCTAATCTGACAGGGCGGGAGTGGGAGTGGGGCCTTTCCAACCTGGTGTACAGGCTCCTTGGGGCTCGGTTTTGCCACCTGCAAAACGGGAGTAGAGGGGTGCACCCAGGTCTGCCGGGGGGAGAGAGCGAGGTGGGGGACCCAAGCCCCAGCCCCTTTCCCACTGTCTCATAGTTGAGCCTGGAGGGAATGTCACGGTCTGCAGCTGAGACAGTGTGAAAAACCACTGCGCCACCGTGCAGGTGCCTTCTAACTCTGTCATTTTTGGAGGAGAAAGGCACTCGGCACCCCCGACCTGTTTTACAGGCAGAGACGGTGGAGACGTGAACAGAGAAGGAAAGTATCCTGGTTGCAGCAGGGACGCCGGGCCAATTGCCTTGGTTAGAAACCAGCTCTGACACTTATTAGCTCGGTGACCTAGACCAGCCACTATATCTCCTTGGTGACTCAGTTTCTTCATCTGTAAAATGGGGATAAGGAGGGTGGTACCTACTTCAGAGGGTCCCCATGGTGATTAACCTGTATAGCAGATGGTGCCTGGCAAAGTGTAAGTCCTGAGAGCGTCCAGTCCTTGTATCCTTCGGGATTCGTGCCTGCCAGCGCCCCGTCCGTCTGCTCCCTCCCCACCGCAGGCACAGTGGGCGCCATCTACGGAGCAGACACTCGAAGCCCTGAATGAGCCCCAGGAGCTATTCAGCTCAGTGGCAGGTGTCTCGCACTGCACCCTGAAGCTGCCACACCTCTCTCACTTATTTCTGGCTCAGGTCTACAGTCTCAGCGCGCGTGTGTATGCCGTGCGCTCCCAGCCGTCTGGCTCTCGCCTCCCTCCCTGTGAGCACTCATTAGCTTTCCTGGCGTGGCTAGTGGGCAAAACGCAATGAATTACCGCTTTCTCCCCGACTGTGGGTAATGAATCACAGAGGAGTATGGCTCCGTAATGGCTTACTGTGGTTATGGACGGGATTTTTGTCCCAGAAATTGAGGGATAAACTCTGTGGGGAGAGTCTTGACTTATTTTGAATGGGGGAGGGGGGTAGGACTCTTGGGATTGAAAGTCTAGCCAGGCTCCATGTAGGATGTCAGTCCACTCTTTAACTTGGGGAGAAGTGGCTCAGGACAGTGGAAGAGCACACTTTTTGAGGTTAATTCCATCTCTTCCACTAGGAGTTTTCTTCATGTGAGCAGGTGCCTGCACCTCAGTTTTCTTACCTATAAAATGGGTGTAGTCACGCCTTCTTCAGAGGGTAAAAATTCAAGTTGATGAATGTTAAATCAAAGGTGCATTGTAGCTGTTCAATAGTGGTTCTTTTCCCTTTAGGAAAAATAAGGTTCTAAGAAGGAAAAAAACTTAAAATGACTGAATAGGCAGCAATGTTCCATCTCTCTCACTTGTCCCAACTCTGGAAAACAGAGCCGTAAATTCTAGACTGAGGACACTTTGTACAGCACTGCATTTGCATTTGAGACAGTTCTGCGCATTCCAGGGGGTTTTAACATTTCAGACGCAGAATATTATCTTTCTCGTTGATTGTCATGGTGAGTTTGTTGGAATTAGCAAACTAAAGAAAATAATCCTTGGTGGCTGGATTCTTGAACCAGGTCCATTGGTCTGGCTACATCCGTGTCATTAACAAGAATATTTCCCAGTGAAGATAGATGTCAGTCATTTCCTGAAACTGACCACTGCAGCCTGCAGATACGGATCAGCTTCTGGTATCCACTGATTCAGCAGGCATTTACCTACTGCCTTCTGTGCCCCTGGTCTTCTTCTAGATCCTAGAGATAGAAGAGCTGGCAGGACAGCTTCTGGAAACCGCACCACGCCAGGGCCTGGGGCTGATGAGTGCCTCTCGACAGGATGGGGTGCAAAGAGCAGGCAACACACACAGGGCTCATCCAGACAACCACCCGGGGGAGGGGAAAAGGGAAAGGCCTGCCGTGCTCCGGGACAAAGGAGGAGGCCAGGAGCAGGAGTTTGTTGAAGCAAAGGGAAGCGGTTGGAGATTCAGGGGGCAAAAAGGGTCTTGTAGTTCACATAGAAGTTTATAAACAATGATGTGCAAAAAAGGAGTATTTTATCTGAGTATTCTGGAAAGGCATTGGAGATTTTTAAGAGGACACACTGTACAGACTGCCCATTGGTCTTTTCTTTCACATTCAAACCCAGCTCTGTAAAGGCCAAGTGTTTTTTCTTAAGTAGAATGTAGAATAGAAACCCTGATTTCCCATGCAATGGTCAGTTAGTTCATTGGAAAATCCAATTAAAATGGAAACTCAGGGAAAATGAGTAAGATAGGTTTATACCTCACACCTTCAGGTGTCACTCCAAGCAGGCACACGTGTTCAGCTGGCGTTGCCTCAGCCCAGGGCCAGAGGCACAAGCAGCTACATGCCATTTGGAGCTCTCCCTTTGAATTTCTTGCAAAAGCAGAAACGTAAAGCTTGGTCTGTGACTGCCAGTCTTTCTTGAAAGTAGGGCATCCACATGATATGTGATTAAAGCTTTCTAACTGCAATAACAAACACAACGGGGTAAACAGTTAGAGACAAACACAGTTGGCTCTGGGTAAACACTGA